TAGAGGAGGAGAATATATATCGAATATTTTTTTTCTTCTATGTCAATATTTTAGCGTAGTACATGAGGAAACTACTTCTTATTCTCCTTAGTCTAACGATGTAGAAGAATGAAAAAAATAGAACCTTGAAAGATATGATTAATAGTCTACTTAAAAGTTCTAAACTCTCTAAAATATGTGGGAAGAGTCTTTGAATATGGCTTGTCATATTCTGAATAGAGCTCCTCAGAAACTTAAGGAAAGTAGTCCATTTAAACTTTGAAGAGGTCGAAAGACAAGTTTGAAATACCTTAAAGTATGGGGGTGTATTGCAAAAGTATTAATCCCAAAACACAAGAGAAAGAAGCTAGATCTTAAGATAGTGGACTCTATTTTTCTATTTTTCTAGGTTATATAGAAAACACTTATGTTTTGAGATTCTTAGTGGTCAAATCTAAAACCCTTGGCATAGATGTTAATACAATTGATTAAATTTTGTGATGAAATGTTTTCTGAGGATTTGTCCCTATGAAACTAGAATGCCTAAAAATATTTCTAGTGAAAATCTCATCACTGTCTCAACTTCCATTACAAATTATGTGAAAAGGATGACTAATGTGGAGGTAGAAAATTCTAAATGTGAATCTAAGAGATCAAATAATTTAGATGAACCTAAAAGAAGTAAGAGAACAATGATTGTCATGGATTTTAGAAGCGACTTTGTCACTTACAATATTGAGGAGGATCCTACTTCCTACCAATCTGCTATGGCCTCAAAAGAGGCTAAGTAGTAGAGGGAAGCTATCAAAAGTGAGATGTCTAGTGGAACAAAGAAATTAATTGATCTCCCTCCTAGGCACAAGATAATTGAGTCTAAATGGATTTTGAAAAAGAAAATAAAATTAGATAGAACCGTAGAAAAGTTTAAGGCTAGACTTGTTGCCAAAGGGTTTAAAAAAGTTGAAAGAATCGATTTCTTTGACACATACTCTCCAGTTGCCCGAAAGACTACGTGCAGGATGCTTATTGCATCAGCTTCTATATATGGTTTGATAATCTACCAGATGGATGTGAAGACTGCTTTTCTTCATGATTTTCTTAAAGACGATTTTTATATGGATCACCCGAGGGATTTATATCACCTGACAATGAAAAGAAGGTATGTGAACTTGTAAAGTCTCCACACGGACATAAACAAGCCCCTAAACAATAACATAAAAAGATTTGATATGACTATCATTAATTTTATTTTCAAAATGATTGAGTCTGATAAGTGTATTTATAGCAAAATAAGATGTGATTCATGTATTCTTCTATGCATTTATGTTGATGATATTGTATTGTTTGGATCAAACCTTGGGATAATCAATGAGACCAAGTTATTTTTGAGTAATAAGTTTGATATGAAGGACATGAGAGTCGCTGGCGTGATTCTTGGCCTAAAACTGGTTAGGTCAACCGAGTGCATAACAATTTTTCAATCTCACTATGTTGAAAAAATTATTAAGAAAGTTGGCTATAGGAATCACAAAGCCGTCAAAACTCCATACAATCCTTGAGTAACTCTCTACAATAATGGAAGGGGTCTCTGTATCGTAGTTGAGATATTCTCAGATTATTGGAAGCTTGATGTATCTTGCAAATTGCACATGACTAGATATTTCATACACAATTTCTAAATTAAGTAGATATACTAGCTATCCAAATATGACTTATTAGGAGGCGTTGGATAGGATACTTCGGTATCTGAAAGGTTTTTCCTTGTGCTGCATTACGGTAGATTCCCTCCTGTTCTGGAGGGGTACAATGATGCTAGCTAGATTGTTATGGGTCAGGTAGCAATAGTTGTTTAGGATATATATTTACATTAGGTGGCGGCGTAGTCGCCTGGAGATCTGTCAAACAGATCATTTAGTCTCGATCTACTTTTGAGTCAGAGCTATATGCTTTGGATACTACTAGTCTAGAAGATGAATGGCTTAAGGGACTTATGTCTGAGTTACCCATGATTAGCAAGCCTATTTGTGCAATCTTTGGTACGAAAGGCATCCTCATTTTGGGTTTTCATGAAAAACCACTTAAGGAAAGCATAATCTATCAAATTATTATCCAAGTAAAATTAATATTCGTGAAAAGAATAACAACTAGATAGTAATTCTATAATTCATAAGTATAACATATTAAATCATTTAAGATAACTATAGATAATCAAATTATTCTTCTACCAATTAGTTTTCTAGTTGATTATCCTAAACATGATCATTTAAGCACAAGAGAGAAATCCACAAATTATAAAAGAAACAAACTCGTTTCATACAATTCTAAAATTTCTACAATAATTTAATTACATATTTTAAAAAAAATAAAAATGAACAAATAGAATCTAGACTAGAGAGCATGAAAGAAAGAAAATAAAAATACGAAAAAAATAAAAACTAATAAAAAATGTAAGAATAAGAATATAAAGATCTAAACTATGAGGATAAAGGAAATCTAACTAATGAAAATAAAAGAGCATAGAAGAAAATTTGAACTAAAAAAATAAAAATTCAAGAAAGTAAATCTATACTACAAAATAAAAATATAAGAAAATAATAAAAATAAAAGAACATGAAAGTTAGTCTCCTGATCTTGATGGGTTCTTAGTCGTGTTCTACTAAGAGATTTGATCTCTATTTTGGAGGGATATATTCTTCTTCTGAATCCATGTTCTTAGGAAGGAAGAAAAGCATGGGGGAAGAGGGTCCTCATAGTTTGGACCTCTACGACAAGAAAATATTTTAGAAGAGAAACATTCACAATGATAGAAGACTTGAATGAAGAAAGAATGTGCTCTATCCATCGGCACCAACATGCCCCAAACCTCTAGCATTAGTAGAGAGAGGATGAAATTCCAACTAACACAATAAAAAACTTTCATAAAGTACACCTTAATGATACAAAATTCCTTTTTCTTTGAAGAACATTGATGAAGCATTTCATGAGCAAGGAAGATAGAGTCTGGAGTTGATTTTCCTCCATAGAAAGCAGTTTATTGGTCAGGACTTTTGTGAAAATTTAGGAAGTCCATTAAGAAACTAATAGGCCTAAAATCTTTAACCTGACAAGCACCTTCCAGCTAACTTACAGTCTGTACTTAATAAAGAACATGTTGATATAAGTAGAATGCTTAATGAATGATTTAGAAAGTTTTTGAACTTTAGACAAATTACAATTGTAAGGATAAGAACTTCCTTCCATCCTCAAGAGCATTTAATTAACAAGTAGCATTATATGATAGATCACTATTGATAATCATGTGAACATTGACCACATGATCTTTATATGTGTAACAATAATGTGCAGCCCTATGATCATATCATCCTCAACTGCTCTTGTTGTCTCAGTATTTAGGGCCATATTCTTGTTGATTATTGCTCCAATCAACTTACTTCATCCACTTTAGCATTTTGGGACTCTTGGTACGAAAATATTCTCTTATATCTCGTTAATCAATGGGATTGTGTTATTCTTACCAACTACTCCTTACACAGTAAGGGCAGATCTAGAAACTATTATCACTAGGGGCAAGAGAAGAATCCTACAAATATAACTAGTATCAAAGTTTTTTATTTGAACCAAAAATAAGCAAATATATTTAAAAACAGAATAAATAGTTAATAGAAGTATGTTATTAAAATTCTTTACAATTGTTCCCTCCGTATTTTCATATTTTTATAACATTGTATGGTTTCTTCTTGTCGATTCTATCAGAGATATCTCTTCCAATATAAGTGACTAAGCAATTATTCAACTAGTCATCACTCCATGCAGTCATGCATTCGATTCTTCAATATGTTAAAAATATATATATATAAAAGAGGAGAATATTTTTGTAATTGAGATGAGAATATAGGAAGATGACTTATCTATTACTATTATTTAAGAAAATTCACACTTTTGGTTCTACCCCTATGTGTGTCAAGATTTTAAATAATTTAGCATGTCTTCAACAATTAATTGTACATTAAAACTAACTAGAAGGATAAAATTATAAATATTTAAAAATATCGTAATTATCATTCACTACCTGACCAATCTTTGCATTTTCTAATAGTAAGATAATTTATGTTATTTTTAGCAATAATTTTCTAAAAATCTATTCATATTAATATTGATTATTAGTCAAAAATATTTTTTACTCACAAGTTTGATATGTAATATACGCATCGCGTTTAGCAAAGAACTAGTGAGGCAGAAGCACAACGAGTGTGATACCAAAAGTCTAATTGTGCAAAGCTGAGAAATTTGATATGCCACAGATAGTCTATATAATATAGATTTTTAGACATTAGTTGTTAAATCTTTAACATTTCCTAAAACAATTTAAGTGGTTACTTATAAGAAATGGCAAAGCTTAATAGCAATATTAATGATTTGAGGAACTAGTTTCAAAATCTTAAAAGATGTAAGGGACCGAAGAAGCCCTTTTTTCTACGGTTATTTAGTCTTAATCCCTCAAATATTGAAAGTTCCCTATTAGTCTCGCAAATTCTAGAATTGCTCGTAGGTCCCTCAAATCTAGAGGTTCTTGTAATTAGTCGCTCGGTGACTAAAATACCTCTCAGCTAATTCTTTGAACATGAAGAGGTCGGGGGAAAACATAAACTGATGAGTATTTTGGTCATTAAAGGGCCAAATTGCAGGGTGACATAAAATTTGATGGGTTTATGAGAAATTTCATATATGTGAGGGGTTGTTATGAAGTTATTGAAGATTTTAGATACTACTAACTAAATAACCGTTGAAAAAAAACGAGAAAGTATTTGCCCCTTTCGAGACGCAATAATAAAGTCACTTTCCCCCTTTTGGAGAAAAGTGCACATATTTAATATTATCTATTTATTTTCGCCATAAAAAAAAAAAAACTCATGATCCTGGTCAATTCTCCAGTCTCAGGGTCACTCCCCAGCTCCTCCGCTCGAAAATCCCCATAAAATCTCCACCTCTCTCGATCGCCCTCGGGATCCCAAATGAACGCGATGGCGTCGCCGGCGCAGTTTAGCCCAGGCCCCGGCGCTATCCTGCGCCGCCCCCACCTCCTCCGTTCCGCTCCTCAGGTCGGATCACCTCCGCACCCGCTGCTCCCGGCGGCGGAGGCTCCCCCGCCCCTCCTACCTCGAGATGTGGAAGAGAGCCATGCGATCGCGATAGGAGGTCTCAGGTCCTCCGCCAGACACGTTACCGCATCGGCGGTCGCAGGTTCAACCGTCGGTGGAGGAGAAGACGGAGGTCTTCAACAAGATCCTGGAGGTTCCTAAAGAGGAGAGGGATCGGGTCCTACGGCTGCAGGTGATCGATCGCGCCTCGGCGGCGATCGCGGCCGCGAGAGCGCTGGTCAAGGAGGAGACTGCGAAACGTAAGGGATCGGATGATGGCGGTGGATTGAGATCGGGCGGTCGGAGTTCCGGCGGAGCAAGAGAAACGAATCAAGGTACTTTATTTAGATAGCTGTTGCTAATTCTTGTAACTGAGTGAGAAAGTAAAGAAAATTTGACGAAATTTAGACAGACGTTGAAGGTTTGTGGAATTCTTGAGATTTGGGCGAAATTTTTGTAATTTCAATTTGTGATGACTATTAAATTGAGAAATTACGGGATACACTTTGAGAACTCAAAAAAAAAAAGTGAAATTTGAGGAGGTTGCTTAGGTTTTGCCTCTGAAATTTAAGCAGTGCAATGGACTGTGTGAAATACATGTACATTACTGATCTGTTCATTGCTATTTTTATAATTATTAATAAATTCTTTTTTGCGAAAATAGCAACTTACTGAATTTGAATGGTTGTTACGATCATGCAATTTTGATAAAATTCAGCAAATTCTGATTTGCAGAAACTGTTAAATCGAGGAGGTTTCTTGAGAGAACTTGGTATGGATGAAGCTTTCAGCAATAATTTACCCACATAAGCCAATGAGTTCCAAAGAAATTTCTTAGGTTTCACCCTAGATGTTCAAACAATGTACTGGACGGTGTGGAAATCGGATGAAATGTGTTTTTATGCGCCCATTTTATGGAATATTTGAGAAGAAATGGGCTTGAAAACAGTTCAATATTTTTATTTTGGCCAATCTTTCAGAAATATCAGAATTAGGCAAATTCAGTAACTTAACTTTCAGCAATTTAGGATAATCAAATTCCTTAAGGAATTATAAGAAACATAAGGACATTGTTCCAAGCTTTCTGCAAACTCATGATGCTTGAGATTGCAGTGTGTGAATAATATCAAATGGTGTGATTTCTGAAGTAAGGAGTGTTTTCCAGTGAATTATTTGACCTTGTAGTATATTAAAAAAACAAAGCGAAAAACATTATTTAAAATCCTTTTGTGCGTGTTAACGTAGCTTAATTGAACATCCTCCATTTAATGAATGATATTATTTCTTGAACATTTAAATTAATATTACTTCATATTTTAGGGATTGTACATATAGATGTCATACTCAAAGTCTAATATTGTAGTTTAAAAAAATGTGTTTTGTGAGGAAATCAGTTTTCTTTTGGTAGAATGAAGTGATGATTCTTATTTCCATTGAAGAAGTAGGTTCATTTTATTGGTATTTAAGCAGTTCTTGCTAAAAGAATTAAACAATTATTTGTTTGCATGCTGAGAGCACTATGTTATTCTAACTACACCTAATCCTTAAGTCAAGTGCTTGATCAGATCTTTTGCACAATTCTTATAGTTGCATCGACAGCACAGGATCTAAACTTAGCACTAAGATAGAATAATGACATATTTCTTATTGAATTATTACTTTCTATTGTTAAAGGTCTAACTGGAAAACATGCAATCCGAAAACATTTGCAGTTTCAACTACTGTAGGTGGAGATGCATATGTATCCCAGCTACAAACAAATATAGACTAAGTTGCCTAGTTTCTCCAGACATCTTTTATTACAAATTTCATTTATATGTGATCACTTAGTTACAAAATTTAATTACAAAACTTAAACTAAGATTCTCTTACAACATAGTATAGAAAGCTTGTAAACTTGTACCCTGTACAAATTTCAGTATTTGGCAGATATAGGCCCATCTTTTTGGCCTTATATCTGACATTATACAATTTCTATGTTTTATTTATGGTTTAACTAGTCTTCTTATGCAACTAAAAACAATCGAAAGAATTATTATACGTATAGATCAAGATTGTAAGTCTACTAACATTTGTTATTGCTTTGTTGCTTACTTCCTTTCGTTAGAAACTGATAATTTATATAATTATCGTTGTATCAGTCCTTGCAAATACTGTAATAGTGTAATATATGTAGAATGTCTATTAAATATTTTCTCATTGGTGTCGAAAAAAGAGAATTCTAGGTGAACAAGTAGGTGTCATACTCCTTCTAAATGTAGTATGTTTGAATTGTATGATAATAACTGTTGCTCTTTCTTATTCTGCTTAAAACTAGCTCCCCAGTTAGTAAATTGGATAACTTCTCAGTAAGGTTCTCATTTTTGTAGTATTCTTCTTCATAAAATTTTCCAGGTTTGCAGGCTGCGACACCATTTCTTCATCGATCAAGAGGTGCAGAACATGTGACTCCTGGTCCTGATTTTTGGTCATGGTCCCCTCCTCAGGGCAGTCAAAATAAATCAATCGATGATGCCACTGGCTTACAGCCAGCAAAGAAATCAAGCCCACATCCCCATCCATCTAGTTCATTGCTAGAGAAAGAGAAATCTTTAGATATTTTACCACTTCCTTTCGAGAGCACCCTTACTGAAAATGACCATAAACTTCCTCTACCACCTCTTCAATCATTTCTGGAGGTTGAGAAAATAAAGACAGAGAATTCCTTGTCAGATCTCTCAACCACAGCAGACGAAGAAGATAAGCTTGGTGTTCTTTTCTCAGCGCATGCAGTAGAAGCTGCCGAAGCCCTAAGTAAGAGTGATGAAACAGCTCCACATGGAGTAAAATCAGATGGTACAAAGTGGTGGAAAGAGACAGGTATTGAAAAGAGGCCAGATGGGGTTGTTTGCAAGTGGACATTGGTTCGAGGGGTCAGTACTGATGGAAGTGTCGAGTGGGAAGACAAGTTCTGGGAGGCCTCTGATCAGTTTGATTATAAGGAACTTGGTTCAGAAAAATCTGGACGTGATGCTGCTGGAAATGTTTGGCGAGAGTATTGGAAGGAATCAATGTGGAAGGTGAAGTTTAATTTAGCTTTTAGCATAAAAAAGTTTTTTTTTTCTTTTGTACAACCAACTGAAATATTCCTCCCATAAGTTCTGAAACTTGTAAATTATAGATATAAACCGCATCATTGGTACTTAATTTTTTTATTAATTTAATAATTGCATGAAAGCACCAGCTTAAGAATACATTGCATAAGTTGAGAATTGTCACCGTAGAGGGATGATTCAGTTAAATAACCTTTTTAATTTTGTCATGCCATCATCAGCTCAATGATCGTTGTGGGTTGCACTTGATGCCTGGTAAAGTCGCTTGGGCAACAAGAGCTTGTAATAAGACCTTGATGGGTAATTGGTAAAGGATGAAGACATACTACTGTAGATCTTTTCTGTTGATGTATATTGTTGCTTTTAGTGTAAATATATAAAGCAGCGATTCATTAATGACTCGTTGTTTAACATAAGGGGGTAGCACACCAGAGGAAGCAGTAACCCGAATCTTTGCATGAAGAAATATGGTCATGTTAATCTAGTCTTATAGTCATGTAAAAAATTCTTGGCTATGATATGTTAAAAACAGTGTTGCCATACTTTGATGGTTCACATAGACAAAGGCTGACTGCAGTATATGAATCCTACTTTTCTCAGGATCATAATACAGGGCTGGTGCATATGGAGAAGGCTGCGGACAAGTGGGGCAAGAACGGCTATGGTGGTGAGTGGCATGAAAAATGGTGGGAACACTATGATGCCTCTGGCCAAGCTGAGAAATGGGCCCATAAATGGTGCTCCACAGATCCCAACATACCGCTAGAGGCTGGCCATGCTCATGTCTGGCATGAGAGGTAAGAATTGGCTTTTCCTCTCTTGAGATTTTTGAAAGTTCTTAGCTACTTTCTTTGTTTAGTATTCTTAGTCAGTTATGCCAAAACATGACTTTAGGTAGTTCGGAGTAGACAACATCCAATTAGTTGTCTACTTATGTTTTGGGAATGTTTTTCCTTTTACTAATGGACTTTCCTCTTCTAATCTTATAAGTGATAACTAGTAAAGAGAAACTTATTTGGTTTATCTAGAATGTTAGTATGTCAATTGTTAGGAATCTAGTCGACTTTAGATCCCGAACAAAGACTTTTAACTTTTTAGGTTTTTGTGAAAAACATTAACTTTATGGCGAAATAATTAAAACAAACAAACAACACACAAAACAAGAAGATTTTTGTGGTTTGGCAATGTGCCTGTGTCCCGGGGAGAAGATTGAGATTTCTTTATTACTTGAAGAACAAGACAAAACCTTAAACTTTATGGCGAAATAATTAAAAAAAAAAAACAACACACAAAACAAGAAGATTTATGTGGTTTGGCAATGTGCCTGCATCCATGGGAGAAGGGAGAGATTTCTTTATTACTTGAAGAACAAGATACATGAATATTCCCTTCTTGTTATCACCTCACAAGAGTAATCACGGATTCTTGTAGATCATCACAAGAATAATAACATTCCTCTTAAAAAATCCTCACAAGAGTAATCTTTTTTTTTCCTTATCTTCTTGACTGTTTACTTCTTCTCTTAGAATGAACCTCTCAAGGGGTATTTATCCTCCTATTATAAGTTCATGTAAGATTCCTTTTAACCAATTCTAATGCCCACATGATTCCTTTCTCATGGTACTTTCTAGAGTTATTCCAATCCTAGTCTTCATCTAATTGGAATTGTAATTTTCCTTTCCGGTCAAAGTCAGACTTTTAATCCTAACCAAATTAAGATTGTTTTAATGCAAGCCATATTCAACATCAAGAATGTCATTTCATAAAAACAAAGTTTGTAATACACTCACTTCCATACAGAATATGCACATGGAAGTTCTTCATATGTCACTAGTACAAAACAGGACAGTCCAAACGGTTGGAACCATTTGGGAAAACACAGTCCCAAACGGTTACAATCATTTTAGCTGTAAAAAGAACCGTTTGGGCTAAAGCCGTTGGGGAAAAGTATACCCTAACGGTCGCCCAAACAGTTACAACCGTTTCGGCAAAATCCCAAACGGTTATAATCGTTTGGACAGAGTAATATTGTCCAAACGGTTACAACCGTTTGGCCAAATTTCTGTCCAAACGGTTACAACCGTTTGGGAGAAAATTAGCCCAAACGGTTATAACCGTTTGGGCTAATTTTAACCGTTTGGGCTAATTTTGACCCAAACGATTGTAACCCATTTGGACTGTGTATTTTAATATTTTTTAAATTTTGACTATTTTATTTATCTACCTGTTTACATTTAATATACACATCTCACATAATGATTATTCAATTTCTCACAATGAAATCAAAAACATATACATACACAAAAATGTCTCAAAAGGTGCTGAATATCCAATTCAAATAGATAGTATAATATTAAAGATAAAACATATACATACACAATGATTACTCAATATCTCACAATAAAAAGCATCCAATTTTATATATTTGTCTCTAATATCCATTCAAATAACAAGAAAAAGATAATATAGAAATGCGAGAGCCAGCATCAAAGTTCTTCATGTAATGGCTGCACTCGAGGTCTTCTCTAACATATCATTTACCTACAAAATGAAACATGTAATAGCATTAATCAGATAATTGAGTTTTTCTTCTACACAAAGGAATACTTCAGTTCGATGAAATTCCAAATTGGTAAAGTGATAATGTACAAACAAAAGAATTATCATATCATGAAAAAAAACCTCTTAACATTTCCGTTAACAGAGCATTTTCATGATCCTTGCAACTTCCAATAATTGCTCATGATATATGATTATAGTTAGTTTGCAACTCCATGGGAGCATGACGATTAGTTAGAGTTGCATACAAAGATTTCACTATCAGATTTCTTCAGAACGAAGGGTCACTATTATAAACTTGCGTTTTCGTTCCCTTCTGGGTGGCTCAATCCAATTCTCACTAACAATTTTCTTAAAGTCCACCTTGTTTTCATCCTTTTGTACAAGTCAAAAATAATTAGTTAAGCAATAACTATCTAAAATATATGACATTAGTCAAGAGTTAATGTAAAAGGTAGCTTTTTTTTGTGTGATGAGGGAACTTCTGCACAGTCCTTCGGACCATAGGTATCAAACCCTCTAGACATGGCTAAGGGGCATTCCTAACGCACAGCTTCAGGTACTCTAAGAAATTAACTTCCTGTGGATACTTCCCAGGAGAGTCGACCCTGAGACCAAGGCAACTTACCAACTTGTCTGGACCTTATTGGGTAAAAAGGTGGATAATTTGCTCCCTTAACCTTATGGGGCAAGTTTCCTCTAAAAACATGTCATGGCCTGCCTTGAAGCTGTGATCTGTCCTATCATTAGCAAAGACTCTACTACATTTCCAGTTCCAACCATGTTTGCGTAGAAAAAATTGTCAGTTGCATGGACAGGGCTGCAAAATGACAAGGATATTTGCAGATATATATCCATATACACTAAATACCAATAGTCAATAGGACATGAATATGGATAGATATATCCAGAGATGAGGAATCTGCTGCTGGTGGAGGTGCTCCTAGTTAGGGATGCAACATGTAAAACACACTATACGCCATTATCTAGACAGATTATTGCCAAAATTTCACTAACCAACGAGCTTACGACCACTAACTAATTGACATGGATATATCGATATTGTCAGAATAACAATCACAAAGGTATAAAAACCATCTCCTCAAAAGTAAGACATGTAAAAAAAAATGAAATCCTAGAACCTCTTTGTTTACGGTTGGCTTCAAAAAGAAGACGGCCTAAAATAATTCCTAGCGCTCAACTTGCTCATCTTTGGTGTTCAGATCTTTATGGTCGATGTTGGTTGTTTTTTTTTACTACAAATCTCATTGGTTTTGCTTGAATATCCAATTCGGTTAGGCACTGCGCCATCACATCCAAAATTAGAAATGTAATGATTCAAGAGAAAACTTAAATTATCTATATTATGTGGTCTATTAATGGACCCAAAAGAAAAATATCACTATGTAAAGATAAACTGCAAAAGGGTGTCCATGTAAAACTAACCCTTAAGCTGCTAATCAAAATCTAGGGCCATGTAAACCCCGCTCCAGCCATGCCATCTTTCACCCACCCAATAAAACTTCCAACCAACCTTCGCCCACAAAATCCACCATGTATTCCGAACAAAAACCTGTAAAAAAAAAAGAGAGAATTGTAAGGAAAAAAGAAAAAGAGACCTCCAGGAGGAGGCATCAAAGAAAGAAGAAAGGGAAACAAATTATAAACAAAGAAATAACCCCTTTTCATTCTCTTTAAATACCCAACAACTCCATCTAGAATGTGAATTCAAAGTTGTCTGAATCAAATTTATCACCGTGGAAGATATTGAATCGTCAACACTAAATCCGCCAGCTAAGAAAAACTCACCATCACCCTAATGGTCACGCAAAGCCGTTCAAGAACAAGAGATCCAGCAAAATCTTAAAGAGAGGCAAGTTGCTAAAGTCATCATCAACGATGAAGGAGGTGACGATCAACTCACTGATATTGGATCATGCTCCTATTATCTTAAGCTAAAGTGCACATAATCAGAGCATGGCATATTTCCATCAGGTTTTTCACAAAGCAATTCCAATTCTGTTAACACCTCCGAAACAAAGTTCTAAAGGGGAAACATTGGAGCAACATTTGACGGAGTTATTAAAAGGAACAACCACCATACTAATAACATGGTCCATATCCTTGCTTTTTTATCATTTCAACCATGTTCATCAAACATAGTGATCAATAGCATGATCATCAATCTTTAAAAACGGCCCAGAACTAAGCTAAAGCTAAAAAGAAAATTCAACAAATGCACAAGTAATTAAGCAAGTTTGTTTTTGGAAGTACAAATAGGTTACTTTAGGAAGTACAAATAAGAAGACGAACCGATTTATGACTGGTTACAACTCTCTATCTAACTAACGCATCTCAATTTATTCTGTTGACATAGCCTAGCTTCTTAATTCCTTCGAAAGTCACAGATCATAATTGAACGCATAGGTAGGTAAATATTTGCATGGCTAAGTCAACGTTGCTACATTTTATCCTCAACATAGTTGAATGGTAGAAATAAACCCCTCCATATTTGCGCTAAATTCTTATATTGTTTATACTATCGTCACAAATCATCTTTGTTACAGTTATTGATACGTATTTGACTTCCAAGCAGGTGGGGTGAGAAGTATGATGGCCAAGGTGGCAGCGTGAAGTACACCGACAAATGGGCAGAACGATCTGAAGGCAACTATAAATGGTCAAAATGGGGAGATAAGTGGGATGAACACTTTAATCCTAACGGGCATGGAGTTAAGCAAGGGGAGACATGGTGGGAAGGTGAGCACGGAGAGAGGTGGAACCGCACGTGGGGCGAGCAGCATAATGGGTCGGGTTGGGTTCATAAGTACGGGAAGAGCAGTTCTGGCGAGCACTGGGATACACATGAACAACAGGAGACTTGGTACGAAAGGCATCCTCATTTTGGGTTTGAGCATTGCTTTGAGAACTCTGTACAGCTTCGAGAAGTAAAGAAGCCGCCCAAAGATGTATAGATCTCTAACCTTTTCCCTGTCCTTCCAGTGAGGTAAGTTTCATGGTTTAGTAGTATATTTTCTTGAATTGCCGTGTTATTAGCCGTTTAGTTCAGTTTTGTATATAATAATGCAGTAGCATCCTAAAATCTCTCTCTCAAAAACATGATATTTCTGATAACAGTTACTATACCTGCTATACGATCATGGCATGAC